GGGCGTGCCCTCACGGCGCGGGCGTCAGGCGCGCACGTGCATGCAGATGCGTGCACACGCGCAGGCATGCACACGTGTGTGCGCACAGGGCTTGCACACCCATGTGCACAGAGGCATGCGCGCACGTGCACGGGTATGCGTGCAGACATGCAGATGTGCGTGCACAATTGTGCACACACGCGTGCACGCGAACCTGCATCCGTACACATACTGATAATGCATAGCACGTGCGTTCATATACAAACGTGTGCACACACGTACAGATACGCACACATGTACATGCATGGATACATGCACATATATACACGTGCATGCACACACAGGTGTGCGTGCACGCACATGCACATAACCTGCACACACACGAGGGCCGACTGGGGCACCCTGGCACCCCCACTTGCATGGCTGCACCCTGCCAGCGGGCCGAGGCAGGGGTGGGCTGCACCCCCTGGCTCCGGGTTTGCTACAGGGCTGGGTGGTAAATGGGACTGGTTTCAAAAATAGCCTGGGTGCTCCTGAGCCCCTGAAGCACGGCATCAGGCACGGGAGGGAAGAAAGGCGAGGAGGGGAGGGGGCAGAGGAGCCCACGGATGCGCTGGTCTAAAAAACTCGGCTGCGAAGTTGTTCGGCTTTATCAGTCAAACACCCTGATCTGTATTTTGCAACCCTGCAGTAACGCAACTGGAATTACTTACTATTGTTTCTTCTTATTAATGTAATTAAGTCTTGTTGGTGTAGCATTTTTTCCCCATATTAAAGGAAATGAAGTCAACATCATTAAAAGGAGTGGAATAGGCGTATGCCAAAGTATTTGTAAGAGCACGTTAAAAATATTCTAATATGAATTCCAGCTGTCTCGTAGGCCGCTGGTAACTTTTCCTAAGAAATCCAGCGATGCCGCAGCCCCGCTGCGTTGTCCATGAGCCGAATGCAAATTTGTCGCAACAAGGGGAAGCAACCTTCGTTATTTCCTACGATCACACTTTTTAAATCAAGTTAGCTAGTAATTTATAAAGGCCTTTGGCACTGCTTTTGGAGTAAGTCTCGTGACGTTTGTAATTAAAAGCAAACTGCACCGACCTCGTCTGCTCCAGAGAACAGCAAAAACCCCGGTGAGCCCAGCCCAGTGCCACGTGGGGCACGTGGCATGGCTGAGGGACCCTGCGCCGGGGCAGCAGGGTGATGGGGGACCTGGGTGCCGGGGTACCCACATGCCAGGGTACCTGGGTGCCGAGGGATGTATTTTGGGGTATGTGTGTGCAGGTACAGCAGTGTGTTGGGGTACCAGTGTGCATACGTAGTGGTGTACTGGGGTGTCTGAGTACTGGGGTACCTGGGTGCCAGGGTCCCCAAGTCCTGGGATACATGTGTGCTGGGGTACCTGTGTAACAGGGTATCTGTGTGCAGGAGTAGCGATATACTGGGGTATCTGTGTGCTGGGGTACCCGTGTGCAGGTATAGTGCTATACTGGGATACCTGTGCCCTAGAGTGTCTGAGTGCTGGGGTATCTGTGTACCAGGGGTACCTGCGTTCTGGGGTACCTGAGTACTGGGGTACCTGTGTGCTGGGGCACCAGTGAATCAGGGGTACCTGTGTGCTGGGGTACCTGGCTCCCCACTGCCCCCACTTCCACAGAAATTTCCAAGCTGCCATAAAACCATCCAAAGGGATGAGGTGAAGAACGGGGGCCCCAGCAAAAACTGCAAAGGGTCCCTCCCCTGCAAGGCGAGAAAGTGTCTCGCTGCTGCCTCTTTCGCGCTCCCCTGGCCAGGGGGCATGGAGCACACAGGCACTGGCCCACGCGGGTGGGAGCAGGCTCCTTCCCCTATAGTGTTCCGTCCCGGTGTCTCAAAGACTTTGGAAAGAGCAGCACTGCTGCAAAGAGGGAAAAGCAGCTTCACTGGAGTCTCCATCGGATGGGGGAGGCAGTCGGCCAACAACACTCTCCCCTTCCACTCAGGTGTCCCGTGTCCTCGTCTGCTCTATATGTTTCTCCTTCACTTACTGGTTTTCCAAACCGTGGGCAAAAGGCAGGATTTCCATGGAGATTCCGTGTTTTCTCCGTGTTGCACATGCAGGAGGCCTGCCCGTGGGTTCCCTTCGCCAAGCAGGGCAGAAGTCACTTGCACCAAAGTTTGGAGCTCAGCAACACTGAAAATCTGGAGTATGTCTTGAATTTAACAAGTAGTGTGGGGGGGAAATCAGAGTTTGTTGCTGCAGTGCAACTGCAGGAAACAGTTTCAGCCTCCCACCCTGTGCGCTGCGTTATTGTTGGGGCCTCATCCCAGATTTTATTAGCCATATAAGCATCTACCGGCAGCGTGCGACTGTCCTGCACACAGCGTCAGGCTCTCAGAAGCGCCTCCTCCCTTGCTCAGAAGCACAAGTCTCAGACTTGCAAATGCATCGGGTGGGCTGAAGCGATTCAGGCGTTCCTGAAACTTCTCCCCCTGCAACCATGCCCTGATCCTGGGCACAGCCAAGGGGACCCGGCAGAGCCTGCGCTGGGACAAAATCCCCACGGAGTGTGTCAACCCCTGAATTATAGCAATGCCACCAACAGTTTTGATACTGATTTTCTTTTTTTCTCTTCCATTAAAGGATGCAATGGGAAGTAACAGGCAAACCTGCTTGCAGGGCCTAACGGGGCTGGTGAGGAGAGGCCAAGCTGTGGCCCCTCGACTGGATGCCCAAACCCCCCGAGCCCAGGGGACCCCCTGGCTTGTACCGATTTGACCCCTGGGCAGCGGGAGCAGCCCTGGGACACGAAGGTCCTGCAGTAACTGCACCCGACTGGCACAAAACATGCTGCAGGGCGGGGTGAGCTGGAGGCTGCTGCCCCAGGGTCTGCCTTCCATTGCCGCCGAGGAGGAAGCCACCGGCTCCAGCGCCGCGCTCCAGAGCACGTAAACCCCCACTATATACACGTACATATCTATATAATATATGTGGTTATGCACATATATATGTGGATATCCACCGGCGGTGCGTGCAGCTGCTGGCAGGCAGGACCGGGCTGGGCGGGAG